AGCATGGCAAACTTTTATAAAGTATATTCCTGGTAGTAAAGCCCAACTGGGGATAGTGCCAGGCTATTCTAAGAGACAATCCTCTTTCCAAACAAGAGAAGTATTTTATTTTGTCAGATGGGGTTATTGTTTGGGTATGTAGTTTGTTCATGTGGTGGAACTAATGAAATTTCTGATGAGTGAGACAAAGTAGTTTCCAGAGGTATACTCTTTACTGGCATGAAACTAATGTTCCATTACCAGTTACTTACTAAAGGCTTACTTTTAACAGAAGTGTCAAAAGCATACATTTTTGTCAGCTTTTAATGTTTGAAGTTTTTGCATTTAATTTAATATTATAGTCAAGCCTAAGGATTATGATTTCTGTAAGCTGATTTGTGGTTAATGTAGCATTCTGAAATTCAAGTGTGATTAGAGAGCTGGACTCTTATCCTGAAGATATAAAGTCATTTTGTGAAATCGTGCACTTCCATTCCTTCACCTTTTGCTGTGATTGTGGTATAACATTATGTGTGTCTTGGACCTAATCATGATTGATGCAAACCAAATTTTGAAATAATTTTCCAAATTATGATTATGAAGCAATTTCAGTTGGTATTAATTTTAGTTAGTAGATATGGAGATGGCACTGCTTGTTGTGGTTAAGGCAAACAATGAAACAATAGGAGGGCTTTGTGAAGAAAAGGGGGAGAGCATGTAGGATCACATCAGATTCTGATATCCCAAATGCAGTTAGAAGTTCAGAAAGGCTACATCAACTCCAGTGTGCTACAGTGCTGTAAAACACTGTTGTAAAACAGACTTAAGAGAATGGAGTAGTCTGGATTGTGGTGCAAGTGTGTGCCTCAGATACAGTGGGCCCCCGCTAGACAGTTACCCCACAAAACGGGTAATCCGCAGGACGATGACTTTTTGCGATCGCTATAGCAATTCGCAAAACGGTTTTTCCTATGGGGGATTTCACTGGACGATGATTTGGTCCGTGCTTCGCAGACCGTTTTTCACAAGACAGCGATTTTTACAGCTGATTGGCGCTTCACAAAATGGCTTCCCTGTGGCCGCCGCAAGACAGCGATTTTTACAGCTGATCGGCGCTTCCTAAAATGGCTTCCCTGTGGGCGATTTTCACTGGATGACGATGATTTTTCCCCATTGGAACACATTAAATGGATTCCAATGCATTCCAATGGGGAAACGCTATTCGCAAGATGATATTTTCGCAAAGCAGCGATTTCAATGGAACAAATTAACATCGTCTTGCGGGGCACCACTGTGACTTGTTGGGCTGCTGTTCTCATCAGCCATCGCCAACATAGCCAATAGAGTAGTACCGTGGAAAGTGCAACCCAACGTCTGTAATTAAAAATTTTCCATACTCCTCATCTGTTGTATTGTTTGGAATATGTAATGGTACAAAACTTGCTGCCTGGCAATTAAAATTCACTATGTGGGTTTTTATTTTTGCTTTTGTTTTGATGGTAAGTAGAGGAAAACAAGCAGAATACTCCTGTTAGTTTAAGCTTGATGGCCAGAGCCATGATCAGCAGACAATGTGTATACTTCTAGAAAAGAAAGTAAAGTGTGTTTGTTGTCTTTACAGAGCCCAAGCTCAGTGCTGTAATCAGTTGCTAAAATCAGCTTAAACACATATTTCACATAAAATTCTCTCTCTTTTTCCCCTGTTGGTCTGTCTGGGATTTATATAGCTAGGAAGAATGTTAATTTTGTGTATACTAGCTGAGATAACAAGCTGTCTGTAGGGTCAAGGTACTGACATCAGAGGCATTTCTGAACAAAGATGTTGCAGTTGGTGGGTGGATGGCACTACTGTCAGCTGTTGTGTGACCTCGCATAAATAGTATCATCAGGACTTTAATCTTTCGGGTGTTCAGAGGTAGTGTGCATATTTCTGTTTAACCCCTGGACACTTGCCGGCATGCATGACCCTTTAACAATTCCTGTTCCTCTCTCCAGCCTTGGCACCTTGGCTCCAAATAGTCTAGGAATCAAGCCAGTAGTGGTATACATCCATTATTCTTTTGTCCATTGGGAAAAGAATGAAACATGCTACTTTTATGTAATATGTGGAAGATGTGGTATATGTATTGCTATCTCTTGTAAAACTGGATGTCATTAGACTATAATTTACCTTTTGGAAATTGAAAAAGTGGCACTTTCAGCCAGTTTACTGAATGGTTTTATGCTCTGATGACAGTCAACTTCACTGCTATGGATTTGGAGTCCACTCTTTCTCTGAGGCTCATATGGGTACTATCCTTGTCAAAATCTGTTTAATCTCCATGATAAAATTGCAGGGGATCCATTCAAACTATTATCTTAAGAAATGTAGGTCAACTAATGAACACTACTGTTAGAAGATGCAAGCTTTATACTCCATTTATTGAGACATTGGAACTTTACATAAGAAGTGGCTAGCACACTAGCCGGATTTGTCTGGCATATTTCAGATGAGTAGCACTAAAGAGACAGCTGAAATGTCTCATAAAAATGATATATACTTTGTTTCTTTGGGAATCTGGTCAGTTGAAGAATCCCAATTGTTTAGCTTGTTTTCTGTTGAATTTGGCATCTTCAGAGGGTTATGAAAAAGCAAGGTCTTGTACCAGCTGTAGCTTTTTGGTAAAACTAATTTCTTTCTGCCAGCCTAGAATCATCTATAAGTAAATTAATACTAGTCCAATTTTAGATTCAAAGTTTGCAAAGATAGAAAACACCTCTCTCCATCTTGGGAAATTGAAACCATTTGTTGTCATTTAGTCGTTAAGTCGTGTCCGACTCTTCGTGACTCCATGGACAAGAGCACGCCAGGCCCTCCTGTCTTCCACTGCCTCCCAGAGTTTGGTCAAATTCATGTTGATAGCTTCAGTGATACTGTCCATCCATCTCGTCTTCTGTTGTCCCCTTCTCCTTTTGCTGTCACACTTTCCCAACATCATGGTCTTTTCCAGGGAGTCTTCTCTTCTCATGAGATGGCTAAAGTATTGTCCATCTCATGAGCTTCAAGACCTGTCCTTCCAGTGAGCACTCAGGGTTGATTTCCTTCAGAATGGATTGGTTTGTTCTCCTTGCAGTCCAG